GGTTCATGTTTTTTTTTAATGTTCTTTCTGAAAACCTTTGAGGTCAAGTTCCTCTATGAATTAAACTACAGTTAAAAGTAAAGAAAGCATACTCTTTAGCCAAAGCCAGCCAAGTGCCTGGCTTGTCCCAGACAATTCTAATGATGATAAACATCATTGTTCAATCTTCTGGGCCAAATACCGAAGAAAGCATAAGAAATAAGAGATGTGAAAGCTATGCAAAGAGATGGAAAGGAAGAGTGGGCAGTGGCAGATAAACTACAGCATCCTCTGAAATATGTCAGATTAGATGCACTGAACTGCCCTGTGGACCTATGGCTCATGTCAGTAAAGCACATGAGGAAATACAGAATAAGATGAACTTCCTTTCAAGCTATCATTCAGTCTCACAATGCCACCTTCAATAGTTTAATGACATAAGTGACTTTGAGGGCATTTACAACAGAGATAGTAAAATCATGAGAAAACTACAGAATGGCTGCTCTAAATCTGGCCCTGAAGTAAAAAAAAGTTTCCCAACTACGGCCCTCTATTCAATGAACATTCCCTTGTTCCATTTTTTCTGTGAAAATTGTGTAGCAATGGATAAAACATCCGCATGCAATATTAGTTCCTTCCAAAGTATCTACAGGCAATGGAAATTAATAAAGAACTATATATTATTATTTACTGGGATGAGATAACAAGAGAAATTTTAAAAATAAGTTTTATATTTTTGAATGAAAATTATCCTTTTAACATAAAATAACTTATCTTCATGACAATAAATTATTATAAGCTACAAAGTAGCTCTTTTGTTAGCAGCTCACCAAATAATTTTTGATGTTTCCATTTAATTTATGTAGTTTCCCAAATAGTTTCAGAGAATTATACACAAAGAAGAGATGAGAATATTTTGTAAGGGTTCTTTTACTGCAGGTTTTGATGATAATTGGGATAAATCTACCTATACTTTGAAGGTTTTATAAATCAAAGCAAATAGTATCTTCTGAGAACTCATCATACCTTTCAACTCAGCTTGTTTCAGTCATTTACATGCTGATTACACAGATGTCTTAAATGTTTTCTTCATATCCAGAGTCATATGCATATATACATAAACATATTGGCTCAAGCCTAGTATAAACAAGGGAAAGGAGCTTTGTGAAATGGTGTAACTCCTTTGAACAATTAACTCATAGTTTAACAAAATGAGTACCAGGAAGCTGAAACAGGTTGGTGGGAGTTGGAAAAGCAAAAGGGATGGAGGGGACAGATGAATAGAGAAAAAAAAAGGTTGTGTGAATGCAGCCATAATATTCAAGGTACTTATTTTTTATTATATATATATATATATTGTAAAAATATTGTACAGAGGGGTTACAGTACATGAGTAGGTAATGAGTACATATCATAGCGAGCATTGTTACCTCCTCCTTTGTTTTCCCCCTACCATAACTTTGTTCCCCACCTCCCAACTCCTCCCACCCCCACCAGGACACTGTAAAGTTCATTTTCAACATAGTGTCCTGTACATCTCATTGTCACAATGGGTCAGCCTGCAGCCTTATTTAAAAGTTCCACAATATCCCTTCCCCTCCCCAAATTACAAAAATATATATACAAGGTGCAGAACACTGGCATCAAATCCAGTGAAAACAGAGGTTATACCGTGGGGCAAGAAAATACAAATGAAACAAAAGAATCACATAGTGCATTATAAGTACATTAAAAACACTAGCAAGAAGGAAAAAACCACTTGCGTCCCTGTCTTGGGGTACATTTTGCTTAACATTATCGCATGTGGTCATATATACATAGCCTTTGACCTTCTCTGCTTGTCCTAGACATGTACTAGTCATTGAAAACAAGGGAAACCATGGGACCTATGTGTCTTTGGGCCTGGCTTACTTTACTTAATATAATTTTTTCCAAGTCTTTCCATTTCCTAACAAATGAGGCAATGTCATTATTTCTGACAGAGGCATGGAATTCCATTGTTTGTTTGTTTGTGTGTGTGTGTGTATGTATATATATATATATATATATACACACACATATATATCACATTTTCTTGATCCATTCATCTACTGAGGGACATCGGGGTTGGTTCCATATCTTAGTTATGGTAAATAATGCTGCGATAAACATGGTTGTGCTGGTAGCTTTGGTATGACCTTGTTTGTGCTCATTTGGGTAGGACTTAGTAACATGAGTAAACTGGTATTTGAACAACTTTTCCCTCCATTGGAGACATACAAAAATGAGAACCCAGGTTTTTCTTTTTCTGTTGTTTTAAGTTTTCACATGAAAATATCTATGATCTGTTTTAGTGTAAACAAAGGATTTTTTTAAGTTGGATGTATTACAAGCCATTACAGTTTTCTTTGTACATTTCTATAATTTTTATTTTTTTCCAGTCCTGGGGCTTAAACTTAGAACCTGGGGGTTGTGAGCCTCTTTGTGCTTAGGTCTAGTACTTTAGTACTTGAGCCACAGTGCCACTTCTGTCTTTTTCTGAGTAGTTTATTGGAGATAAGAGTCTCCCAGGCTGACTTCAAACTGTGATCCTCAGATCTCAGCCTCCTGAGTAGCTAGGATTACAAGTGTGACCACTGGCACCCAGCTCTATATTTTTAAAACATAATGTTATAAAATAAATGAAAAGTGGACTAAATAAATTATATGTTTGGAAAAATTAACCTGAATCTACAGAGTCCTAGCTCTTTTTAAAATTTCCATAGAAACAAGATAAAGTGGTTATGCTACAAGTTGTCATTCTTGCAAAAATAACAGATGCCCATTGGGCAGAGAAGTCTGATTTTAAAATCTATGAAATATGCATAATCTAATAAAATGTTTAAGAATACTATTATAGAAGTGGTGGTAAAGATAAATTCAACTTGCATTCATATTTCATACAAAGCCGTTTCTGAAACATATCCTTGGCTTGGTAAATTCCACAAGCATTTATTCAATGCATTCTCTGCTTTCTCTCATTCTTCTCAATGTTTACCTGAAGAAAACTGACACAAAAAACCAGCTACCATGGTGTTTGCATTCTAGTAAGACAAGACATAGGAAAAATAGAAGATATTTGTTTAAACTTAATGTTTTTTTATTGGAAACAGAGGAAAAATTAAAGCTGTAAGAGGATATAGGAAGCACTAGAGGAACATTGCAAGTTCAAACATAATGATCAGGAATCTGGCTTGTTTGTATTACGCAAAGTGACTAAAACCATATTTTAAAGCTTTGAATAGTCTTGTTTAATGCCAGGAGTCTTATTTTGAGGAAAATACAATGTGTTACTATTAATTTTGTAATGTTCTTAAAAGTTATTAATTTGAAAGCTGGTATGTATTGAGTGCTGATTCTATGCTTGGGATTATTCTAACTATTTTATTTCAACTTTTTTTGTTATTGAATTCCAACAAAGGCCTTATGAAAAAAGTAAAACGATTATTTCCATTTTATAGGTGATGAAACTGAAACACAGGAAATGAGTTGCTACTTTGCTGAATGACAGTTATATTCATGGCAGCAGCATAGTCAATATATGTGTATATAAGTTATACACATATGTGAATCATGTTGTATATTTTGTTAGAGATACGAAGATCAAGACCAAATAGTCAGTGCCATGGGGCAGTGAGGATCTTGCTGATGACTTGCAGATGCACAAGCCCCCATAGCACACAGATGGGCAGCACTGGTCAAGGGTTTTACTGTCTTTATCAAGACACAGTCATCCAATGACTCTCGTGGTAGAGCTCCAGACATCTTAATACTTCAGTAACAATAATTTCTATTGCTAGAAACAGCAAAGGGAGGCACCTCATCAAGTAGAGCTATTGTCATGCAATTTCAATGCCATTTCATCTCAGCCTCATTTTTGTCAACACAGTGTGAAGGAATTATATATGTGTGTGTATGTGTGTGTGTTATATGTTATGTGTGTATATATTTTGTTTATATGCATTGGAATTTTACTCATCTATCACGAAGAATGGTACTATGTCATTTGCAGAGAAATGAATGGACCTGGGAAAAAATTATGTTAAGTGAAATAAGCCAGGCTCAGAAAACAAAGGACACATGTTTTCTTTCATTTGGAAGTTAGATCTAAATTATATATGCATGTAAGCATATACAGGGTTATATGCATATATGCACAAACATATTAACTGAAGTATTAAAAATATTAACTAAAGTACTAAAGTAAGGTATATGCAGGGAAGAATTCCAATGGTGTAAGTCCTTTGAACAACTAACTTACAGTTTATCAAAATTAATACCAGGAAGCTGGAACATGTGGTGTGGGGGGAGGTGAAGCAAAGGGGAAGGGGAAGAGAAATGGAGAGAAGAATGGCGGATGAAAATGGAACTTAGAAAACTGAGGGGTGGGGTGGGAATGATGGAATGGGATGACATTGATGCATTGTATGCTTTGTACAATTGCTTAAGATAACACAGCAAGATTTTTCAAAGCCCCACTGAGCACTAACTTCTCCAGGTACAGAGCAATAGAATAGCAAACTCTCTCTAGGTTTCCAACATGCCAGGGAAAATCCTACAAGAGTAGTCTAACCTCCTTCCTCAGTCCCAGAAAAAAAAACAGAAAACTGGAATGTGTTCAAATGTACTTCCCACACAAAATGAGGGGTTGTTTTGAGAACTATATGATTCCGTAAATCTCACTATTTTTCAGAATGAAGTGATTTACATAGTTTGCCTTGTATTCTGTCACTGGAGGTCAAAGGAAGTTATTGAGCTGTACATGAGGATAATACTATGGTAGTCAACATCATTTTAAAAAAAAATCTCTAAAATTCCAAGTTGTATGCATAAGCATGTGAGTTTGTGCATTAACTTGTTTTAAAGAAGATAGAGAAATATAGGTGTTTTCTAAACTCACATTACAGTCTGTGACTCAGAGTGACTTGTGAAGTTTTATTGCCAAGAATCACTGAACATGGACTTTATATCATTCTGTTTTAGGTCTTGAAATCTCTTAAGACATGGCGAGGTACTCTGTCTTATATTTCATTCTGCTGAGCACACTGATTGACAGGGACCAAGCCTGCTTCTGTGATCACTACCCATGGACTCCGTGGTCCAGCTGCTCAAAAACCTGCAATTCTGGAACTCAGAGCCGACAGAGGTGGGTGTGAACTACACTGATTGTGTGTGTGTGTGTGTGTGTGTGTGTGTGTGTGTGTGTGTGTGTCCTGGGAGACCACAAGGATGGGATCAAAAATTCTAAAAGTACTGTACCATACTGAGATGTGATTCCAACTACTGAAAAGCTGGAGATCAAGCCGCAGTTTCAACTAAGCAAAAGTTAATGAGACCCCAACTCAAATACTAAACTGAGTGTGGTGGTTCATACTTTCATGGAACTATGATGAAGATAGAAATAGGAGGATGGTGGTCCAAACTAGTCCGGGAAAAAAATAAGACCCTACCTGAAAAGTATTTGAAGCAAAAAGGGCAAGGGTTGTGGCCAGCAGAGCTGTAGTAGAACAACTAGACAGCAAATACGAGGCCTTAAGTTCAAACTGCAGTATCACTGCCGAAGAAGGAGAAGTATAAAGGAGGAGAAGGAAGAGGAAGAGAAGAGGAAGAAAATGAGGATAAAGGAGAAGAGGAGAGGAGAGAGGAGGAAAGGAGAAGAGGGGGGAGAAGAGGAGAGGAGAGGGGAGGAGAGGAGGAGGAAGAGGAGGAAGAGGGAAAAGAAGAGGAAGAAATAAAGGAGAAGGAGGAGCAAAGATAAAAGAACTTTGCTTTAAGCAATAAAGGAAACCTGTATGACAAATAAGAACTTAAGAATTGATATGGAAGTTGAGATTTCTTCTATATAATACTGATGGTCTACTTTTCCTCTAGGGGAAAAAAAGTTTCAAAGAAATTAAGCATGCAATGTTTTTAGTTAACTAACTTCCTTAGACTCACTGACTCAAGTTTTTTTTTCAATAAGTATACAACTTTGCTTGCCTACAATTAGTGAGTTAATTATAGAGAATTTTCTACTCATTAAACCAAGTGCAACAGGACTTCAATTGAGCAGTAGTGCAAGCTATTAGCTTGATTGTTAGCATATACAGGATGCCAAAAAAAAAAAAACCTGCTTACTTGATAACATTTAAAAAGTCAGTCTTTTGCCAATTCAGATTACTCATTTCACACAAGTTATTTAAACTTTTTAGATTTTTCTGTACAATGAAAGTGTTCACAGGTCTTGAAGGAAAAAATATGTATACTTATTGTGTTTAGATTCTTGTTGCTCTTTTTAGACACTTATTTTAGAAAGCTGTTTTTGCATATGTAGTTTGAATCTCATTAAAATTACCAGTTGACTTCCAATAAACCATCTACCAAGAGTGAAAACAAATTTCTTTATACTAGACTACTGAAGAGTCCTTTAGAAGCTCTGCCCAGCAAATAAAAATACGATCCTTCCCTATCATACGCTCCTGGCCAAGCTCCTTTCTGGAATAGTCATGCTTTCTTCCATGTCAAATTTTGATCATTCTCTCCAAATGCCCTTCCAGGAGTTTTTTTCAAAATGTTTGCTCCTGCTTCTTGGCCTTTAAATGTTGCTTTTAAATCCTGACCTACCTTCATCACTGTACTTATAAATTGTGTTCATCTTCTAAGCAATTTACTTTTTCCTTCCAATCCCATTCAGGAGCTCCATGAAGACCAGCTTCATGAATGTGCCTTGTGTCCACTCACTGGCCCCAAATTAGAAAGGCTTCGTATTTGATTTAATGCCCTATTTCATTGTCTTTAAAGTCTTCATTTGGGAACCTTATCTTTACTTTGTACTTGACCCCACCAATTATATATCTGTTTTTCAGTTTCTTTATGATCTAGAAAGGTGTCTAGATAGATAGATATCTGAATAGATATCTATATCATATATAGATACATATATACAAATATGCCTAATCCTTTTTTGTCCATCATGGGACTTGAACTCAGGTCTTAGGTGCTGTCCCTGAACTCCATTAGCTCAAGGCTAGCATTCTATCACTTTGAGCCACAGTGCCACTTTCAATGTTTGATCTTTCAATGAAAGTATTCTTCCCTTGGGCTGGGAAGGTGGCTCAGTGGTAGAGCGCTTACCTTGCATGCACGAGGCCCTGGGTTCGATTCCTCAGCACCACATAAGCAAAAAGAAAAAAGCCGGAAGTGTCGCTGTAGCTCAAGTGGTAGTGCACTAGCCTTGAGCTGAAGAGCTGAGGGTTAGTTCCCAGGCCCAGAGTTCAAGCCCCACGACCGGACCCCCCCCCAAAAAAAATAAAGAAAGTATTCTTCCCATTTAATTCTGTAGTTAATGTTCTACAATATTTTGATGATAGGGCTGGGGCCACAATAAGGACACTCATTCTGAGCAACATTTTTCTCACTATAACAGACAAATAGTAATGGACAGTTACTATTGGGACAATTCTTGTGACCAGATTTGCACCAAGCAGGAGACCAGAGCATGCAACTGGCAGATGTGTCCCATCAACTGCCTTCTGGGAGACTATGGGCCATGGTCGGACTGTGACCCCTGTGTTGGAAAACAGGTATGTGACACAGGAACACACCCTAGATATCTGAATTGCAATTAAGTTCTCTGATTCCCTGACAGGACCAGCAACACAGAAATGTTCTTCCTTCCATTTCCCCAATAAACTACCTCACTTGCCTCTGGGGGAAATTTTCATTTAGTAATTTTCTCAGAGAGAGGGTGAAGAGCTGAGATTTATTTTTACATGACATGCTCTACTGTCATATGAACACCAAAAGGAACTTCCTCCTCCAACATTGTATTATTATGCTTACCATATTTCATTTCCACTGCCTATGTCCTCTGAAAATGCTGAATATAAAACTAACTGCTTTAAGAATGGAGATTTCAGTCGAATGCTTAAAACTAGACAAAAATTAAGGAAATAAATCAAAAGGCTGACTCTGCCCTGCCTTCGAATTCCTTTTCCTATGGGAAAGTCCCTCCGTGTGTTTATTGTTCCCAGCTGTAATATTTACCCAGCTCTTGCTCACATCTGAAAGAGCATTGATCCCCATGTCCCCAGATAGGGTGGTGTTCCCAAGAATTCACATACTAGAAAAGAAAATGAAACTGATGTGCAGAACACCCAGTCTTTGTCCTCTGTCACTTTGGTGATACTTAACCTCATACTAGGTGCTTCTACTCATTTAATAGATAGGAAGTTATAGCCCATTAGGGGTTAAATATTTTGTCCAAAAAGATACCACTAATTAATCAAGTATTTACATTTTAATATGATTTTTTGGCTTGAGAGTCAGTACTTGTTACACTGGCATTATTTCTATCTTTCTTGGACATTTTCATTTTACTATTTTACTATCTTTCCAAGTAGGGAGAATATGTCAACTTTGGTTTCCATGGTGACTTCCTTAGGCAAAAGAATCTTAAAAAATCGTTTCCCATTTATCAGTTCACACTCTCTTGGAAATATAGAAGAGCTATTGTTATTGCCTGGAAGAATTTGCTGCACCCAGAAGACCCTGTAAACATTGGTACATTTCACATTAATGTACTTACATTACCATACATAATGTACTTATATTACCATACAATTCCAAGTATTAGGAGAAACCCTACTTTGTCCCATTGCCTTGTTTTGCAGGTTGGGAGACTGAAGACTAGGAAGTTGGTGGCTTTTGTAATTACACACAATAATGAAATGTAATAAATGTTAGTACAGTTTAGGAAACACTACCATAGGAAACATCACCCTCATTTTTCTTAGCTGCATTTTGACCTTGACTTTGTCTTAGAGTTACTCATCTTTCTCTCCGTTCCTTCCAGTTCAAGATTAGATCTGTCTTGCGCCCTAGTCAATTTGGAGGACAACCGTGTACTGAGCCCCTGAGCACCTTTCAACCATGCATCCCATCTAAACTCTGCAGAATTGAAGAGGCTGATTGCAAGAACAAATTTCGTTGTGACAGTGGTAAAGTACTTTTGTAAAATGTTCAGTCTCCACAAAAAGTAAAGACTAAATCAAAGCTATTCCAACTGAGTACCAGTGAAAGCTACAATAGAGAAATCCACCCATTTTAAGCACAAGAGATAGAATTATGCTACAAATGGCCAAGGTATATATGAGTGGAATTAGAGCTCTCCAGATACAGTCATCTTGACCACTTACCTGATTCATTTGCTCATTAAGCAATGATATTTGAATCCCCACATTGTTCTCAAGCAGAGAGAAAATGGAGGAAGGGGAATAATAAATATTGGCAGCTTTTTTAATCATTGTTAATAAGTACAAATACACATTGGCAGATATTTTCAATAATGTGTTAACAAGTACAAATACACAATGAGGATGCTTGAAGTGATAGATTGAAAAGACTTTCAATAAGTTTATTAAGACAATCATATTGAAATAATATGTCAGAAGGATGAGTGTCAGAAGAATTGCTAGAAAAAATATAGTTTTTATTGCATCTATAAGTAATTCCAAAACACAGGATCAAAATGATTTAACTCTTGCAATATCTTCAAGTCTAACACTCAGACTTGTAAAATCTGAATTTAAGTACCATTAGAATATAACCAAATCTTGGATAAATTAATCATGTATGCCTTCTTATTAATTAATAACTCTTCAATGCTCTCCATTTTTAACAATTTATCTCTAATTTCTGCAATTTTTAGCAAAGATACAGATGGAAAATATTTAGCTTTTGTAAGTGTGTGGTCTGTCTCCCTGACACTGAACTCTAGCACAATACCACTGAAGCTGCCCTGGGCAGTATATGGACAAATGAGCATGGAAGGGATCCGATAAAATTTTCTTTACAAGAGAGGTTCAGGTCAGTTTAACACATGAGCTATAAATAGTTCACCAACCTTCTATCTAAATAGTCAATTTGAATTTAGAATCAAAATAAGATCCAGGTGATAAATTCACTTATTATTTATTCATAAAGAAATTCATTTCTGCCTACCCTCAGATCTTGAAAAGTGAAGTATTTATATTTAATAAATAACAAATTTCATAAGAAACTAACCTTGGAACTAAAGTTTCTCCCTCTTATGCCTTGGTTCTTGACTTCAATTTGCCAACTTTTCTTGAATATAAGTGTTTTCTCTCTGCTTACTCCAATCCTGGAAAATGAGAGAGGGATTTTAATATGGAGGTGTATATTGTGCCTAGATGAAAGAGGTCATGTCACAAATTAACCAAAAAGAAAATAGGAGCCAAATATTGATGAGAGTGACTGAGGATAGTACATACATAGAATTATGTAATATATATGATGTATACATAAGAATATTAAAATTAAAATGTAAGACTGAAGCTTTAAAAGGCAGTTTTACAACACATAATCAGGAAAGATTTTTTGATTCTGTAAGCCATAAGCCTGTGAAATTAGGTACAAAAGAGCTTTGTAGAAGCCAAAAATATTTACAAATTTTTTATTTCTCCTTGGGTTGCCAATACACAACAAGTGATTTCAGAAAGTTAGCACTGTCAGCACAGCGGGGCTTCACTTCATCAGCAACCTATCAATAGCCATTGATTTTTAACAATTGAATTGTTACCATGAATGGGTAATGGTCTGTAAGCAGTGCGACCCTGCTGTCCACACAGCTTCAAACATGAACCCCAGCTGTCCCCATAACCAGAATGGACTGATAAATTCCTGGCTCATACGTGATGATCAAGTTATTCCACAGTCTTTTGGTTGTTAAATATTCCATCAAACATGACATGTTAAGACAGAGCTCTGCAAAGCATCCATTAACACCACAGAGAATGGGAATGAGACTGGATGGTTATGGGTTTTTATGTACCAGACTCAGAATGACATTTAGTCCTCACCTAACAAAGAAACAGATCTAATCATCAGTACTGAAGAGACTCCCTTCTTTTAGTTCTCCTCTTATCACCACTATTCAGCCTCTTTGGATTTCCCAAGATATTCAATGTATACATGGAATTTTCAGAATTACTCACAAGACTAACTCCAAGGCATTGTGCCAACTTAGTTTTAAAAGTTCTCATTTTAAGCTTATGAGACTAGAAAAATCTATGTCTGGTTATAAAAACATTATACCACTGCAGTAACACATGTAAGTTCAAGTAAACAAAAAAATTTAATTTCTAAATAATTATATAGCTCAGAGGATATATATATATATACAGATATTAAATACATACACATATGTTATATATGTGTGTATATATTGTTCATGGTTTTAGCTACTTGTGGTTAACCATATTCACAAAATATCAAATGAAAAATTCCCAAAATAAATAATGTGTACGTTTCACATTGCATGTCAGAATGGGGTGATGGAATTTCACATCCTCCTTCCCTGTCCTACCCAGAGAGTGAATTACCCCTTTGTCTAGCACATTTACACTGTGCACCTGACCTGCCTGTTAGTGTCAGTGATCAGATTTCCTGTCGTGCTGTGACAGGGTTTGCATTTACAATACCTTTACTTTCTTTGATGATGGCCACAAAATACCATTTCCAGGAAATTGTGAAGAGGGCAAAATAAATCTGTGCTAATTATGCTGCCACACACTGCAAAAGTTGGACCACAGTGTGTGATTGGTGCTTAATGAAGCCAGGAAATGCATTAAGTTATAAGGCTGGCGAAGTTGAAACCTACTCCTCACTGAGAAGCAGGGACTACTGCATATGCATAGGCTGACATCTACAAATCTTGCAGTATGTAAACTCTCCTTGACTTTCTAATCCCTGCTTTGATGTAAGATTTATTTATGAGCTTTCAATAGCTCATTTTTCCTACTTGCTCTTCCATTGGGATTTGATGGCCCCCAATTATTCTCAGCTATGTCCCAAACATCACAGGGACGATCCTTGTGAGTAATTCTGAAAATTCCATGTATACATTGAATATCTTGGGAACTCCGAAGAGGCTGAATAGTGATGATGAGGGAGGAACTAAAAGAAGGGAGTCTCTTCAGTACTGATGATTAGTTCTGTTCCTTTGTTAGGTGAGGACTAAATGTCATTCTGAGTCTGGTACAAAAAAAATATCCAATCTCATTCCCATTGTCTGTGGTGTTAGTGGATGCTTTGTAGAGTTCTATGTCATGTTTGATGGGATATTTATTTAACAGCCAAAAGGCTGTGGAATAACTTGATAGCACGTATGAGCCAGGAGTTTATGAGTCCGTTGCTGGTTATGGGGACAGCTGGGGTTCATGGCGGAGCTGTCCGGGCAGTTCTTATTCCTATGCCTTCTAAAAGTCCCCCTTCAATATCTTGAAGGACCAAATAGATGGAATTTCCTGTACCCTCGCAAACCTGATAATCCACTCATAAACGTTGGCTAGTAGGAATGATACCCAGAATGAGTTTGCTTGTCTCTACACCTCCCAAAAGTTGTATTTCTCTTAAACTTATAACTGCCATATTCAGAGCTCTAGAAGTACTATAAGTTCATTGTAGATTAAAATATCTTCTATTTCAAATTAAATTGCACAATCTGTCTACTGTTTAAAATAAGACTAAAGATATACTGTTTTAAAATGAGACTAGCTTCCAGGATATATCTTAAGATCGATAGAAATTCTATTCCATCTATATTTTAATTTTTGCATGAGCCTATGTATAATTATAATAATAGTCTGGACAACATGCATGATCTTGAATACTCAAGGGGAGAAAATTATTTTCATTGCACTCTACCTTCTAAATGAAAATGATTGACCAGAAGACTTGCAATAAAATCTTTTAGGAGGTCACCTTGTGTTAACAACATATTAATCTGGCAGAATGTCCATTTCCTCCAAGTATTTTAGTCAAAATAGTAACACATAGCTATAGTGAGATTCTGGTCACAACCCAAACTAGTCAGTCAGACAATCTTGAGTAAGTCATTTGGCTATTGATGAATTGTGTAAAATGGCACAGTTACCAGCATCCTTGAACACAGCAAGAAGCTGAGGAACAGGAGAGGATATTTCAGCCATATATCCAGGACATTTATACAGTACAGAGTAACACACTGAATCCAAAGATCCTTAGGAAAATCAGCAAGACAAAAAGCACAAAAGAGAATCAGATGCAACCATGGAATTTGTATCATTTTCCCAATGCATTTATTTAACTTGTCATCTCAGAACTAAACTTGTCCAGAAAACAGTCAGATATGGTAAGTTATATTTAGTAAAATAATTAAGTACAGTAATTACATAGAGGAGAACAGTGGATATATTTAATAAAATAAATAGTAGTTACATCTAGTAATTAAATAATTATATTTACAAAATACATAGATCCTAAATGTGCAATTTGATTTTCATAAATTTATACAACCATGGAAACAAATGTCAGTGGAGATATAGAAAATGTCTTCACATCTTTTGCTTTCTAGTTAATCACCACCTTATTCATATTCTTGAACATCATCTAAATTAATTTCAGGTCATGGCCCTTAAGTCGGGTTTCTTTGCTCACCATGAAACTTTAGAGATTCAGCTGTCTTATTTGCATGCATAAAAATTGTAGTACTTTCCAATAAAAACTATAACCTAGATTCTGACATCTGAATCAAAATAAAATTCTCAACCCCTGTTAACTTCTTTTGTACAAAACATATATTTTGTACAAAAGCAAAATCACTATAATGTGATTGTAGAATTACTTCTTTTCTTATAAGCAGGAACCTGAATAGCAACCAAATAACTTTCTGGCAACTCTGATAATCTTCAGACTTATGGAAAATATCAGTTTATCATCCCATTTCTATAAATTCCTAACCCTTTACAAACAGTAATGCAATTTTGCCCCCCAACATCCCTTTAAAATGTAAAGCATGGGCTGGGAATGTGACTTAGTGGTAGAGTGCTCCCGTTGCATGCAGGAAGCCCTGGGTTTGATTCCTCAGTGCCACATAAACAGAAAAAGCCAGAAGTGAGACTGTGGCTCAAGTGGTAGAGTTCTAGCCTTGAGCAAAGGAAGCTCAGGGACAGTGCACAGGCCCTGAGTTCAAGCCCCAAGACTGGTCATCAGTCAATCAATCAATAAAATGTAAAGCATGTATTGCACAACAACTACTGTCTTAAATGACAAGAGATGGCAATGCTGTGTACTTTTTTTTTCCACCAGGGCGTTGCATTCCCAACAGGTTAGAATGCAATGGAGAAAATGATTGTGGAGACAACTCAGATGAAAAGGATTGTGGGAGAACTAAGGCAGTGTGTCCCCGGCAGTACACACCCATCCCTAGTGCACAGTTGATGGGTGCTGGGTATGTAACATTATTATGATTATTATGCTTGTTATTATTAGTCAGTTGGGGGAGCTTGAACTCGGGGCCTGCACACTATCCTTGAGCTTTATGGCTCAAGATTAGTCTCTATCTCCCTTACTGACTTCTTTCTACACTCACCAGCTCTCTCGTCATACTTGATTATCATATCCAGGCAACATATGGCTGTAATTCTCACTCAAAGAGAATACAAAGATTTTACTATTTCCACATGTAGTTGGTACCAGGTAAATGTGGTATGTCCTTCATAATGATGTCTTTTTTTAAATTCTCACACTGCCCTCTGAAGGCTCTGGAATGGATCAGGGTACATTAGATTAGGGCAGCTAAGGTGGCAGGTGCCAACCTGGGTTCCTGGAATTAGGAATGGAATGGACTAACTACTCAGATATGCCAAAAGCAAATTGACAGCATGAATATGGTGGGTGTCAGAAGCTCAGAGAACTTTAACAAATCTCTTTGAGTGAACAAGAAGCTCAGAGTCAATTCTGGTAGCCAAAATCAGAAAGAGGGGTATTTGGGGCTTGGAGAAATGAGGGAGAATTGTGCAAAGGGGAGGCATTGGTCAAGATGTATTTTAGTCGCAAACCACTATGTTGGATTGAAAGCCTTTGTACAACTACTTTTAGATGACAAAAATTTTAAAGAAAAACAGAAAGAAAGGAGTTAAGTAAGCAGAAAATAAAGGGCGATTACAATGATATCAAAAACTAAGAGCTGTGCCAGGCAATGGGTGTCTCACACTTGTAATCCTAGATACTCAGGAGGCAAAGATTCGAGGACTGTGGTTCTAAGCCAACCCTGGATAAGAAGGTCTGCGAGACTCTTATTTCCAATTAACCACAAAAAAAAAAAAAGCCAGAAGTGGAGCTGTGACTGTGTAATGGTAGAGTGCTAGCCTTGAGCAGAATAGCTACAGTACTCAGGCCCTGAGTTCAAGCCCTAAGACTGGCACACACACACACACACACACACACACACACACACACACACATACACACACAAGAATCAGAGATAAGTAAGTAGCGCCAGCAATCTCCTCTTATGGACTATACTATAAGGGTAGAGCACTGCAGTAAATGTAGAAAGACAGACTTACATTACCATCTGGTCCTTGTTTAGGAACTGAGAATCTGGACCACAGAAAGTTTAAGTGCACTGCCAAAGTCTACCAAGTTCCAATGGCAGAATTAGGATTCAAACCCAGACTTCAAACCCCAGGTTTCCTCTATTATTTCATGCTGATTCAAGACAATATCATGTTAGTGAATAATAAAATGTGGGAAGAAACTTCAACAGATCATGGAGCCAGGTGTTTTGCTAATGCTGGGAAATTACAATGTCCTTGTTTTAGAAAAATGCAGCCAGAAAGACACTGGGAATTCATCAAGGAGTTCCAAACTCATTAGGAATAGTTTAAGAAACTGTGGAATGGAGTAGTGTAAGAAACTGGGAAATGGAGTAGCTTAAGAAACATAAGAGAAGTCAAGGAAAACAGAATTAAGCCTTAGCCCGAAATAAAACTAAGTAATCTCCTGTGCCCTTTCATCCCTATGATGAAGAACCCACCCTTCATCTTTTGGGCAGAGGTAAACAGTTTTCTATCAGCTTCTATTGCTTCATATTGTACTGCTTTAATTTTTTTGTATTTTCTTTTGTTGTATATATATTTTTATTGTAAAAAACAACTGTTCAGAGGTGTTACAGTTAATATGAGTAAGGTAATGAGTACATTCCTATCAAGTGTTGTTACCCCCTCCTTTGTTTTTCCCCTACCATCCCTTCCCTCCCCACCTCCCCAACTCCTCTCTCCCCACCCCCCGCCCCCGAAGTTGTAAAGTTTGTTTTCAACATAGTGTCTTGTATATCTCATTGATACAATGGGTCAACATATACTCTTATTTCAGCATTTTGTTAGTTCCCTTCCCCTCCTCAAATTAGAAAAATGTATATACAACATTAAGGGCACCAGAATCAAAATCAGTGAAAACAGGGGTCATACCATGGGGGAAGAACACACAAAAGAAACAAAAAAAAACCACATAGTACATTATAAGTACATTAAAGATGACAGTAAGAAAGATAAAACCACCTGTGTCCCTATCTTGGGATTAAAGTCTTCATTGTGTTGCCAGAGTTGCATAATATGAACTCTTGATGCCTAAAAGAGAGACAGCCTCAACTGTGAATGCACTGTCATTAGATTTAGAATAAAAACCAATAAATTCAATACAGTCCATTGAACCAAACTCAAAGGCACTGATAAATAGAAAACAAAAAGCATTAGGCTAGAAGCAAATGGAGGAGAGCTCTAGACCTAACCCTGCATTCATGGCATCACAGCCTCGTTATTTAATATTGATAGGCTTCAGTTTCCACATTTATAGGCTGCATGACTAAAAACAGATTCTAGATTCTGTCTTAGGAATTTCTAGCCAGGTGCTGGTGGCTCACACCTATAAGCCTAGCTATTCAGGAAGCTGAGATTTGAGGATTATGATTTAAAGCCAGCCTAGGCAGGAAAGGCCATGAGACTCTCATCTCCAATTAAGCACCAGAAAACCAGAAGTGGTGCTGTGGCTCAAAGTGCTGGAGCACTAGCCTAGAGTAAAAGAGCTCAGGGACAGTTCCCAGACCCTTAGTTCAAGCCCCAGGAAAGCAAAAGTTAAAAAAAAAACTCTAATTATTGCTGCTTTCAACAAGAGTACTTCAACATCCTATTTTAAAAAAAATTAAATTTTATTGTCAAGGTGATGTACAGAGAGGTTACAGTTACACAAGTCAGATGAGTCCATTTCCTTTTAACCAGAGCCACCCCCTCCCTCATTCATCCTATCCACCCCACCCCAGAGGAAAAATCTCAGTCCCAAACTCCTACTGATAATCCCATTTTCTAATATTCTGACTGATGAAGGGTGACACTGCGAACTCACTTCTTGCCCTGTTTGTCTAGACTCTAGTGTTCCAGAGGGGAGGACCACGTGCTATGTGTGCTTTGGCAGAACTATATGGCCTTTTTCCAACTAGAGCAATTGTCCCAAAGATTCTCAGAAATGAGCAAAAGCTGCTGGCCCAGGGACAACCAGTCTTCTGTGGGTCTCCCTAGGGACCATTTCAAGAGTTGTTCATTGCAATTTCTTTCTAATCTACTGGTCTTAGAATCTCTGCTACCCACTACTTTTCTACCCACAACAGATGGCTTTCTACACGGCCATTCCATTTAAAAATTTTTTTTCTTTCCAAGAAAAATTTTAGTAAGACATACTAAAATTCCAACATTATATCTGAAAAAATAATCAGGCACTAAAAGCATGCTGTTGGGCTTTTTTAAAAATCAGTCTCTGCCCAAGTAGACACATGCACATATATTCATGAATATATATGCATGAAAATACATATATGTGTTTATGTATTTTCATTTATTTTTATAAAGTAGTGGCAGAGCAATTGCCTAGCACTTGTAAAATTTCTGTGTTCAAGCTCTAGCAAAAAAAAAAAGGAAAAAGGAAAAAAGTTCCAAAGACACATAAAGAAAAAACATAAAAGCTAAAATACTAAATATCAATGTGTATTTGAAACAAGCAAATACTTAATATCAATCTAAACCTGTCAGAGGAAATGGGAAAGAAGAGAAAGCAGATAAAACCTGCCATGTTGTTGGCTTACCTCCTGAGAGGTCTGCCAGCCTGTCCTGCTAGAACCACCTTCATAAAAATCCCATCTTTACCCTCAGGAAGCAGCTGATACCTTCCTAGATTTCATACAACCTGGGAGCAATTTTTCTCAAGTCCTTTCATATTTGTGAATAGAATAAGGCAGTATAGAATCAAGAGTATTCTTCTTTTGTCTCTCTTAAACTTGAAATGCAAATAAATAACTCAAAAAAAAACCATAGGTTTTTGTCATGTTCATACAAGTTGCTTGGAAAGTTCATCTCCTATTAGCTTCTTACACTTCTTCTTTCAAGTACCAACTAATAAAAATTCAAATATGAGTGAAAAGAACTCTTAAATTGTGCCTGCAGCCATCTGAGTATACTACGCATCTTAAAAGAACCCACAAGGATCATTTCTTTTTTAAAACAACTCCCTTGAGAATTCACATGCAATAAAATCCAACCATTTAAACTGTACAGTTTTCCTGGGCTTGGAAGCACATGACTATGTGCTCCCAGCCCTAAGAGGCTAAATCAGGAGGATTGTGAGTTACAGGCCATCCCGGGAAAGACCATGTTTCAAATACATATAATTTTCTTGATCTGTTCACCTATTGAAGGGCATCTGGGCTATTTCCATAAATTGGTTATGGTGAATAGTGCAGCAATGTACATAAGTGTACAAGTGTCTTGACTGTATCCTGTTTTATAATCTTTTAGATAAATGCCCAGGTACTTCTGGGTTATAGCATAGTTCGATATTTACTTTTATTTTGAGGAATCTCCAAACTGCCTTCTACAGTGGCTGTACCAGTTTATATTCACACTAACAGAGCATTAGGATTCGTTTTCCCCTCCACGTCTGTGCCAGAATTTGTTGTTTGTCTGCTTGATATGACCATTCTTACTGGGGTAAGATGGAATATCAGTATTCCTACAATTGGCATTTCCCTTATATCCAGAGATTTTGAGCATTTCTTCATGCAGCATTTATCTCGCAATTTTCATGATACACTTGCTCCTTTTTGATAGAAGGATGGTGTGTCAGCTGGTCAGAACAAGCGCCTGAAAAGCTGAACTTTCTACTAAAATAGCAGATCAAAAACGTTTTACATAATGAGAGATGTCCTCTCAAGCAAGTGAGTCTATTTGTCTTCTCTCAAATCACCCCTCCCTTTGGGAGGAGTCACATGTTTCAGACACATTATGTCTTTAGAGCTAGTATTATAGAGATACAAGAGAAGGGGGCGTGGTGGTACATGATCCCCTTGGAGAGGTTAGAGCCTTTGTAAGGCTCCCTTCCAGCATCAGAAGAGACAAGAGCAATGGTGGATCTTGAGAAATGAGAGTAGTAGTACAGTTCCTTCTGCTCCATGGAATTTTTCCAAGGATGTTCTTTAGAACTCTATTACGGGTTTTATAAAATGCATGGTTAGGTAGTCAAATGTAGTTACAGAATGGCAATTTTCATTATTACAGGCTCTGGAATGATCTGTAGACAATTTTTTTTATCATTTATATAATGTATCAACACTAAACTTTTTAACTACAACAAGAAAACCCTCCTACTTTCTCACAGAATATGTACTACACTCTCAAAGAACTTGAAATTTTTGTCCATCACAAAATAGCTTCTAGGGCTGGTGGTTTAGCTCAGCAGAAGAGCACCTGCCTGGCGAGCGCAAGATCCTGAGTTCAGTCCTCAGTTCTGGAAAAAGAAAAAAAAAAAGCTATAAAATACCTCAAAAAAAATAGCTTCTTAAATGCTTAATTTGTGCTAAACTAATCATTATGTATACCTTAGTTTCTTCATTGGAAAATGAATAAAACAATTGTAACTATATTGTAAGGTTAAACAATATTTGTATAGTACTTATTATTGTTTAACTTATATAACTTATTTTACATAAATTTTACATAAAATTTTACATAAGTATTACTATTTCATAAATAACTCTTTATCAAGAGTCCTACACCGTATCATATTGAAGGCAATGAACCCAGAATAACAGTTATTTTATAATCATTTATTTCACAATCTGCTCCCAAAGTTTGTACTGGCTTTGGAAATCATTTAAAAAATTATAAACTTTTGTGTTGAAATCTCAACACAATTAAAAAAGTGAAAAAGAACCTTCGAAAGATAGGAGAGCTTGGTTTACAGGTACTAGAAGAAAATAAAGGACTTTCTTTCAAGTCAGTTATCAAGAGTAACAAAGGTCTAGGGAAAAAAATAATTTCATTCATATAAAAAAAGACAAATTTAAAAGATTTTTCTACATCCCTTGAATTCTTGACAATTGCTTTCTTTTTAGGTTTCATTTTCTAGCTGGGGAACCGAGAGGAGAAGTCCTTGATAACTCTTTCACTGGAGGAATGTGTAAAACTGTCAAGAGCAGTCGAGCAAGTAATCCATACCGAGTCCCAGCCAACCTGGAGAATGTCAACTTCGAGGTATGACAGCCCAGACAGCTTACCATGGTGTCAGCGCCACACCAATGGTGATTATAAGCTACATTTCTACTCGAACATTAGGGATGAGTGACAGGATAAAACTAAAAGGTAATGAACAATTTTAATCACCTATTATGCATTGGCATTTAATCTGTATGTAACCCAAGGAAGTCAGGGTTGTTTTCATTGAAGTCTGGATATTTTCATTGATTTACATTGAAGATTTTTTTAAAAAAAGTGATAGTTTGTCCCAAATCAAACTAGGTAGTAAGAAGTGAAATAGAAGCCAGGTGCCAGCGGCTCATGCCTGTAATCCTAGCTACTCAGGAGGCTGAAATCAGAAGATTGCAGTTCAAAGCCAGCCCGGGAGACTTATCTCCAATACACTACTCAGAAAAAGCCAAAAGTGGCGCCAGAGCTCAAGTGGTAGATCACTAGCCCTGAGCACAAAGCAGCTCAGAGAGAGTGCCCAGGCTCTGAATTCAAGCCCCAGGATGGGCAAAAATAAATAAAAAATATTAAAATGTACAAACCAGGCATCCATGGCTCACACCAGTAATCCTAGCTACTTAGATCTGAGGATCACGGTACAAAGCATGCCTAGGCAGGTAAGTCTGTGAGACTCTTATCTTCAATTAACCTCCAGAAAACAGAGAGTAGTGCTGTGGATCGAGATGAAGAGCTGAGGAGAGGGCCCAAGTCCAGAGTTCAAGCCCTACAACCAACAACAACAACAACAAAAAACTAAAAAAAAAAATCCTTTGCTAACACTAAAACAGATAATAGATATTTTCATTTGAAAACTTTAAACAGAATAAAAAGAAAAATATGAAACTTCAATTCTCATTTTTATATTTCCATGAGACTCTGATCTTCAGAAAAAGCCAGAAGTGGCACTTTGGCTGTGGTAAAGTGCTAGCCTTGAGCACAGAGGCCCAGGCCCTGAGTTCAAGCACCAGGACCAGCAAAAGAAAAGAAGAAGAAGAAATGAAATAGAGATTTAGGTTCAGGTTTCCCTGTTTCAAGTTCATCTTTTCTTCATGAATGTACAGATCTAATTCCCTAAGAAAATTCAGAATGATTTGAATACAATAAGGTCATTCTGCTTACTTTCCTATTTCATAAGTTGGGTTTTTTCTTTTTTAAAAAATAGCATGTACAGCCGGGCGCGGGTGGCTCATGCCTGTAATCCTAGCTACTCAGGAGGCTGAGATCTGAGGATCAAAGCCAGCCCGGGCAGGAGAGACCGTGAGACTCCTATCTCCAATAAACCACCAGAAAACCGGAAGTGGCGCTGTAGCTCAAGTGGTAGAGCGCTCGCCTTGAGCTGAAGAGCTGAAGGACAGCGCTCAGGCCCAGAGTTCAGGCCCCACGACCGACAAAAAAAAAATAGAATGTACAACCTTCTCCCTACTCTTAAACACTATCCCAATGCCTGGTGCATAAGAACTCTATACTTTAGGCACTAAAGTTGAGCAATCTCTTTCTTTTCAACTATGATAAAAGGACAATGGTTTTAATAGTAGTACACATTTAAAGCCATCTTTTTCACACTAACAGATTTGGATAATGTCTTCTAGATCCAATTGCCAAATAATGATACTTATAGGGCAAAAATGTTGACACTATCCTTAAGATAAACAATTTTGACTAAGCTTTACAGACAGAAATAACCTTTTAAAACTACTTTGTCAAAAGGTACTTTGAAGCTGCTAATCAAGCAGCTCAGAGACCTATACAAGCAAGAATCTGTTTCATAGTATTTTGCACAAAATAGATGCAGTGAATGAGCTCAGGGCAAATTTGCATTAGCTAATTCATATATCTATATCTATATTATTGTACTTGATTTCCCAAGACAACTTCCCCAGAAAAGTTTCCAAAATTTGCACTGGCTTTGTAAATCATACTCATCTTACCAATGGAAGATCTTAGTGCATTGAATGTAAGCATCTTTCTTAGAGTTATATCGCAATTAAATGGTACAGATGAATTGGAATTGCTGGTCCAGAGTTATCTATGCCTCTGGAGACATTGATAATAGTATCAAGAAAGACATTAACAACTGCCATGTAAATTTCACCTGTGAGATTCACGTTCATATGATGATTCCAGCTCTCCCAGTTCACCTAAGCTAACTTCAGATTTCCAGGAGTTTTGTGACCTGATTGTAAGTCATGGTCCTTATTAAATATTAAACTTATCATCTTATAATTACATAGTAAGTTTAAAACTAGGGTCATGACTATTCCAATTGTACTGTCTCTCAAATCTATTGCTACATTTTACCACTGAATGTGGTCTTGAGGTTTTCTCCATCTCTTTTGTTACCTGCTTTGTGAAAATACAATTTTCTCGTAGGTATCTCTTCTCCTCTTTGAATTCAGGGTTTCACAGAAGCAACTTGGAATCAACTATACTAAGAATACATACATCAGGAAAAATTAGTTGCTATGGTAAATCATGAGTTTTTAACCCTTTCTGGAGAGCTGTCTGATAAACATTCACCAGCAGACAACTGAATCACTCACAAAACTTGAGACCCTAAGTCTGGGAGGCCAGTTGCATGGGGAACACAGACTAAAGTCCTTATTTAGACCAAAGTAGACTCATTGAATTATCAATGTAGCTTCTAAACATTGCCCAATGTAAAGAAACAATGTGAGTTAATCTGACTATGTGACATTATGTTTGAAAAGTATTCAAGTGTTAAGGAAAATCTTGCTGATTTTTTAAAACTTTTTGGAAACGACTTTACCCAACAGTTACAATTGCTTTGCTTATTTTTCATTGACTTCAATATTACTTTCTTTTTTTTGGGGGGGGGGAGGTCTGGTCGTGGGGCCTGAACTCTGGGCCTGGGCGTTGTCCCTCAGCTCTTCAGCTCAAGTCTAGCGCTCTACCACTTGAGCCACTGTGCCACTTCCGACTTTTTTCATTTTGTTTATGTGGTGCTGGGGAATCGAACCCAGAGCCTCAGGCATGCAAGGCAAGCGCTCTACCACTGAGCCACCTTCCCAGTCCCCAATATTACTTTCTTAATGCTTTCAGCAGGAATGAAAATCTATGCCACACCCTCACAAAAACAGTAAAATAGGAAAACAACAGTAGGGATCTGACTTCCATTCTGTAACGTTAGAACTATGCCTCTCAGAGATCCCCATCTCCCAAATGCAGGGCTCAGTAACTGACAGGTTGCTGAATCAGTCCACAGAGTTTCACTACTATCTCAGGAATCTTCTCTTTTATTTGATTGGCTGGCTGCTCAGCATTTCTTGTCACCAGAAAACTGCAGAGTATAGTTACCACATCTTCCCTGCACACTGACCTACAAAGACATCATATCCTGCTGTGTCCTGAAGCACTAGAACAGCTCAGTAACTGCAGTCACTCCAGATCATCTCTAAGTTTTTCTAAAATTTAAATACCAGGTTCTGTCTCTAACCTTACAAAGGAATGGTACTGCTGCCAACTCCTCTTCATTAACCATGTTTTGTTTTTATTTTTGTTTTAATTTTACTGTTAAGGTGATGTACCGAGAGGTTATAGTTACATAAGTAAGGCAGTGATTACATTTATTTTTTAATACTTCTTTTATGGTAAAAATAGTATACAGAGGGGTTACAGTTACATGAGTAAGGTAATGAGTACATTTCCTGTGGAACAATGTTACCTCCTTTGTTTTCCCCCTACCATCCCTTCCCTGCCCACCTCCCCAACTCCTCCCTCCCTCCCCACCACAAGTTGTAAAGTTCGTTTTCAACATAGTGTCTTGTACATCTCATTGTTACAATGGGTCAGCCTGTATCCCTATTTAAGCATTTTGGTTTTTTCCCTTCCCATCCCCAAATTAGAAAAGTGTATATACAAGATGCAGGGCACCAGAATCAAATACAGTGAAAACAGGGTTATACTGTGGATGAAGAATATTCAAAAGAAACAAAAATATCACATAGTACGTCGTAAGTGCATTAAGAAGAACAGCCATAAAGAGATAAAACCTCTTGTGTCTCTATCTTAGATTTCTTTACAGAGCAACATTCTCACCATCCTCTCACCATCTCTCTCTTTCCTATGTCTATATGATCAAAGACTTCTGTTGATTTACCTCCTAAGTATCTTTTCCAAAACACAAAACACAAATGTATTAGACATTGACTATATTGTTCATTATTTAATTCTTACTAAGAGCTTACATGAGAAACTGTGACTTTAGAAATAAATCTCTTGGAAGTGGTGCTGTGGCTCAAAGTAATAGAGTGCTAGCCTTGAGTAATAAAGCTCAGGAACAGCACCCTAGGCCCTGAGTTCAAGCCCCATGACCAACCAAAACAAAATTACATGAGAAATAAATTTCTCTATATAATTTGTAAAATGTATGTGCACATACACATATACACATACGTATACACATAGTGTGTGTTTGTGTGAATAAACTAATTTTGTTCTATTATTAACTGGTTATGTGAACTTTTTAAATTTTGGTGGTTCTTAGGTTTGAACTAAAGGCTTACTGAATGCTTAGCAAATGTTCTACCACTTGAGCCATATCCCTAGACCTTTATACTTTCAGAAAGGATCTTGCACTTTTGTCTGGGTTGACCTCAGAAACATAATCTTCTCATATTCTCAAATACTTGAGATGACTGGGTGTGCTACCAGGTACAACTGTTAGAAAGATAAGGTTTTTCTTTTCTTTTTCTTTTTTTTTTTTTACTGGAGTGGGCCTTGAACCACAATCCTTCTATCTCCACCTCTTTGTTGTTGTTGTTGTTGTTGTTTTGACAGTCGTGGGGCCTGTACTCTGGCGCTGTCCCTCAGCTCTTCAGCTCAAGGCTAGCACTCTACCATTTGAGCCACAGTGCCACTTTCAGCTTTTCTTGCTTATGTGGCGCTGAGGAATCAAACTAAGGGCCTCATGCATGCAAGGCAAGCACACTACCACTGAGCCACCTTCCCAGCCCCTATCTGGCATGCACCACCATTTTCAGCTATTTTTAATGGACATTTTAAACGCCAACAAGAATACACTTTTGTAAGATCTCACAATAACACTAAGTTTTGATTATATTTTATTATTGAGCAAGAGACTTTTGCAACTGGATTATTTTGTGTTCTTTCCTAGGCTAATTTTGCAAATTATCTAATGGTGACATATGACTGTTTCTCAGTGCATTTTAGCATTTAAAAGAAAAAAATTCCATTGCAATTCAGACAAGGTAAAGAAGTACTTATCAATTCTGACTTTTTTTTAAAAGTCATCTATTGTTTTCTTCTTGCCACTATAACCTTGACAGAAGTATTAGCTTCTTCTTGGAATAGCTTCACTTATACTTTTAGCTCATAGGAATTCCACAGCTTCATTTTCCCAAATCAAGTCAATAAAGACAATCACCCATCAGGCAGAACCAGTAGTTTGTCCTTTACCTCAGAGACATGGCCAGCAGCATAGTATATTATAAAGTCTCAGTAAGACAAAAGGGATGGAGACAGAAGTAAGCAGGAGCAGATAGAACCCTTTTTTCTAGTTATTAGTTTGCTGAAAATTTCCTTAAATCAGACTACATACTGTATAAAATCTCAGTCTAAAAAATAGCCCCCAAAAGATGAACAAATATAACAGTGATACTCACTAGATACTATGTTGAAAATGAACTCTACAGTGGGGAAAGGAGATTGGCAGGGAAAAACTGGAAGAAAATGAGGGAAGAGGTGACAGTGTTCAAAAAGAAATGTACTCATTGCCTGACTTACCTAACTGTAACCCCTCTGTACATCACCTTTACAATAACAGCCATTTAATAGCCTTAAATGATCAACATACCTTTAAGTTTCAGTTAGATAATACTGTTTTTGGCAGTAAGACTTATGATTATTAGGCACTCTACCACTTGAACCACATTCCCAGCCATACACTTTTTTTAATTTAATTTTATTTTATTTGTGAACATACTGTACAGAGGGGTTACAATTGCATGAGCAGGATAATGCGTACATTTCTTACCAAGCATTGCAGCCTCCTCCTTTGTTTACCCTTCCCATCCCTTCCCAGCCTCCCCCCTCCCCCCCATCC